AAAGCTTTATTATTCTCTGTATGCCTCTGGTTCTCTGCCAAATGCAGGTGGTAGTGGCTGATTCCTTGCTATAGCACGTTCTGAATAAATAGCCTGTTTGTTCTCATTTGGGGTCTTCATTTATTTCCAAAAGTGCAAAGTCCTTCATCTAATAGGAGAAGACTGAGACCCAGAGAGTATCATGCATGGGACCTCACTCCCAAATGGCTTTGGAGTATTTGGGTCTTGAGGCACAGATTCATGGCATCTGTCAACACCCATCTTTCATTTCTTCTTTGGTAATAGAATCTCCAAATTTTAGCTGGGCTCATTGCTGCCTAGGGAAAAAGACTTCAATTTCCAGCCTCCCTTGCCATCAGGCATGGGTCCATGTCTAAGCTGACAGTGGTCTCTAGGCAGAAGTGGTATATTGCAGTTCTTTGTTGAGGGATGTCTCAAGTACAGTCTTAACATTTGTGACTTGTTTATTTGAATAACAACTGAAGCAGCATTTTCACATTGATTTGAGTGTGTGTGCTTGTGTAATAAAGAACTTGATAGGCCTTTGTCCCTGGTTCCTGGGAGGTAACCTCTAAATCTTTGGAATTCCCTGAGTAATATTCCTAGTGGGCCTCTGAAACCACATCTCATAGTTTATGCTAAATAGTTTGTGCTAATGAGATGACTCAGGATGGGGGTCGGCCATGTCAGAAAGACCACCCAAATGATGAGAAGGCTAGGACATTGAGCCATATACTATCAGCCCCACCTCCAGGGAGGGGAGGGGCACTGGAGATTGAGTTCAATTTAGTGGTCAGTCAACCATTTCAAGATAATAAAATGCCAATAAAAACTCTGGCAGAGGCTCTGGTGAGCTTCCCTGGTTGAGCTTCCCTGGTGAGCGTCTCTGCTTATTGTTACACATCGATATGCCAGCAGGGTAATGTGCTCCTGGAAAAGATGGAGGCCTCACATTTGGGATGGTTCCAGATCTCACCTTATATGTCTCCTCTTTATGCTGGTTTGATTTGTATCTTTTTGCTATAATAACATTATAATAAATATAGTACTTTCCTGAGTTCTGAGAATTGTTCTAGAGAATTAGAGAACCTGAGAGAGTAATGGGAACTCACAAATTTGTAGCTAGCTGGTCAGAAGTTGTTCACCTAGGGACCCCCAAATTTGTGGCTGGTATCTGAAGTGAGAGCACCCTTGTCTGGCACTGTATCCTTAACCTGTGAAGTCTGGCCTACCTCTGGGTAGTTGGTTTGAGAAGTCATGGTAACACTACAAAATAAAATAGCAATGCATTTTTGTGTACACACTTCACTCCCCAAAGATGGAACAGTGGTAATCTATATTTAAATCTGAAAAATAATTACAGGAAGCAACATTGTATTTTTCTAAGAAAATATTTAATTGGTAGTTTTCTAAAAGGAATGCTTTTCATCTAGTATGATAGTGTAAAGTCAATCAGAAGCACAGAGAAAACCTGGGCAATACAAGTTGTTTTTCAAATCAACAAATGGTTAGCAAGCACATATAGTGTGCTCCTTTCTCAGAGGAAGTATGGGAAATGACCTGAAGTGGCTGATAATTTGGCTCAGGAGATAAGGGCAAGATGATACACAACAAATGATTTAAATAGGTCAAGACAGTGATAAGAACTACCCCAAGTCCAAATAGCTGTCATTTTAAAATCCGTATGCAAACAAAAAATGCTTGTTCAACTGCAAATGAATAGATATGGCTTTGAATCTGTATTCAAGAGACTTCTTCCCTGAGGGACCATCTGAACAGGTTCTGACTGATTATTAGTCTTTAGATAAGTCAAGAGGGCATCAGGCTGTTGGAGCAGCATGGGCAAACACCTATAGGCTAGGAAGTGTGGAGGCACGTTTGAGGTATGGCAAGCAAGCTCTTTTGTCTGAAATAGGGGTTCTTGTCAGGAGCAGCAGCAGGTTAGGGTAGACTGAAGAGGGCATCAAATGCCAAACAGAGGGGTGAGGATTTATCCTGTAGGCAGTATGAAGGCTTTCAGAAGGGGCAGTAGGTGCACAATAATGGTTAACATGGCAGAGATACACAAGGAGGGACCAATTTTATACCCAGACTAGCTACAAAGTTGTTGCAGGCATCCAGGTGTATAAAGTGACTTCAGTGGGGGTTATGGAAGAACACTGGGGGAAAAGGTGAGATAAAGCAAATTAAGCTATTACTAATGTAAAATATTTGCTACTTCTGCTCCTATGAAAGCTGGCTCTCTGGGAAGAAATGCACATGATTTTTAGCCTTATAGACTGGCATCCTGATCTCAGTGGCCCAGATGGCTCCTGTGCATCCCACCTGCCTGCTTCCCTCTGCCTTGGCCAACCTCTTGGATCCCTAGATCCCGTCTGTCTACGTAGACTCACTTTAAACTGATTCTCTGAATTCTGGGCTCAGCCTCCTCATCTGGACTTTAAATGCTTGAAGGACTATTCTAGTAGAAGCTGTTTGTTTGTTTTGTTTTTTGTTAATTCTCACATGAGGATATTTTTTTCCATTGCTTTTCAGAGAGAGTGGAAGGGAGGGAAAGGAGGTGGGGAGAGAGAGAGAGGTGGGGAGAAAGAGAGGGGTGGAGAGAAACATCAGTGTGAGAGAGACATCGATTGATTGCCTCCCGAACACACCCTGATCAGGGGCAGGGAGCGAACCCTCAACCCAGGTATGTGTCCTTGACTGGGAATTGAACCTGCAACCCTTTGGTGTATAGGCTGATGCTATAACCACTGAGCCACGCCGGCCAGGGCCAAGTTCTTTTTATCAAGATGTCTCTGGTCTATACCAGCTCCTGGTCTTGACTTCTTGACAAAAGTTGCTGAGGCAACATAATATGAACTTGAGACCCAGTAAGCTTAGGGGTAACTATTACAGACAATAAAATGTAATACCAAAGATACACAGGTAAATTGAAGTAACAGATATGATAGAAAACTTAATTTAGCAATAGTTAGTGTATCTGTATATTTGATTTTTTAAAGAACAGTTTTATTTATATACCATAAAATTCTCCCCATTTTATATGCACAGTTCAACAATTTTTAGTAAATTTACCAAACTGTTCAACCATCACCATAGTCCAGTTTTAGGACACCTCACCACCCAAATAAGATTCCTTGGAACATTTGCAGTCACTCTCAATTGCCACTCAGCCCCAGGTAATCACTAATCTACTTGGTCTCTAAAGATTTGCATTTCCTTGACATTTCACATAAATGAAACTATACAATATATGGCCCCTGGCACCTGGCTACTTTCACTTAGAATAATGTTCTTGAGGTTTTGAAATTTTTATAATTCCCATATTTCAGTGATTTTAATACTTGAAAAGTTTTCATTTCATTTCAAAAACTCCAGTTTAGTAGCATAAAGTTCTAATAAAACAGGTTTTGTGGGGGTTTCCTGCTCAAACTTAAAAATACCACTGCATTGCCTCTTAGAAAAAGGTAACATGCATTAGAGAGAAAGAAGTGCATGGGGGTCTTGTGCAGGGAAGGCCTTCAATTTCTAGGTCCCCAAACTACAGCTGTGAACCAGGGGAGGCCCAGGCCAGTGCAGGTGAGGGCGTGGCACTTTCTGAAGATCACTTAGCTCTAAAATATGGTTGGGCTAGATCACTGGTAGATCTCTCAGCCTCCATTTTTGTCACCCAAATAACACCCCTCTCCCCTGACAGGATGGGGAGGCAGGACACAAGTGTCCTTATAAAAATAGTCCCCACCAGGTGAAAATCTCCACTTCCTTTCTGCTCTACTTTTATCAATCTCCAATCTGAAGGAACTTTCCTCACATTAAGCTCCTAGGGTTTCTCTTTTGGATGAAGCCTGATCATATACTGGAGCCTGAACTATATATTAGTGGTTTTTCCCAGTTTCACTAAATTCAGAGTCACCCTAGTACAAGTTCTCTGACATGCAAAAAGAGTGGGACACCCAGCAGAGGCTTTCCCACATGCATTTCATTCCCAGGGTATGTAGCTTGTAGGATGAGTTCACTGACGTTTATCAAAGGAAGAGGTTTGCCTGAGGGCTCTCTCATATTCACCATGTCCATAGGGTTTTTCTCAAGAATGAATTATCTGATGATCAATGAGGGATGAGCTCTTACGGAAGGCCTTCCCACATCTGCTGCTTTCACAAGGCTTCTCTTTAGTGTGTGTTCTTGATGCTTAGTAAGGGAAGAGGCATTGCTGAAGTCATTTACCACACCTGCAGAGTTCCTCTCCAGTATGTTACCTGATTTTTTTCCTAGAACAATGTGACTGAAGGGCTTCTCCCCAATATGATGCTGACTAAAGCCTTTGCAAATTCATTGCATTCACATGGTTTCTCTGACTTCTTTCACATGGTTTCTCTGATGTTTGATGAAGGAGGAGGTGTGACTGGAAGCCCACTTTCCCTCTTGACATCCACAGCACTTTTCTTCAGGATGTCCTACCTGATGTTGAACAAGATGGGTCCTCCAAGTCTTCCCTCATACATGACACTTACAGGATCTCGCTCCAATATCTATTCTCTGAGGTTTAGTGACGTGTACTTCAGCTGAAAGCCTTCCTATCTTCGCTGAATTCACTGTGGTTTTTTCCTAGTGTGAATTTTCTGATGTTTAATAAAGGATGAAGTGTGAGCAAAGCCTCTCCCACACTCGTTACACTTGTAGGGTTTCTCACCAGTATGATATCTATAATGTTGAGTGAGAGATGAGCTCTGGCTGAAGGCTCTCCCACATTTATTACACTTGTAGGGTTTCTCTCCAGTATGAGACCTATAATGTACGATGAGAGATGAGCTCTGGCTGAAGGCTCTCCCACATTCCCTGCATTCATAGGGCTTTTCTCCAGTATGAGTTCTCTGATGTTTAATAAGGAATGAAGTATGACCAAAGGCTCTCCCACATTTATTACACTTGTAGGGTTTCTCTCCAATATGAAACCTATGATGTAAGACAAGAGATGAGCTCTGGCTGAAGGCTCTCCCACATTCATTGCACTCATAGGGCTTTTTCCCATTATGAGTTCTCTGATGTTTAATAAGGGATGAAATACGAGCAAAGGCTTTCCCACATTCACTGCACTCATAGGGCTTTTCTCCAGTATGAGTTCTCTGATGTTTAATAAGGAATGAAGTATGACCAAAGGCTCTCCCACATTTATTACACTTGTAGGGTTTCTCTCCAATATGAAACCTATGATGTAAGACAAGAGATGAGCTCTGGCTGAAGGCTCTCCCACATTCATTGCACTCATAGGGCTTTTTCCCATTATGAGTTCTCTGATGTTTAATAAGGGATGAAATACGAGCAAAGGCTTTCCCACATTCACTGCACTCATAGGGCTTTTCACCAGTGTGACATCTCTGACGCACCTAAGTTCTGACTGGAAATGGAAGGACTTCCCGCATTCATTACATGTACAAGATTTCTTCCCTGGATGAGTTCTCTGAGAGTTATTTCTCCCTGAAGTCTGTCTGAATTCTGTATCGTATGTATAGGATTCTTCTCCAGTAGGAATATCACATTGGTTAACAAGGACTGATCTTAAGCCTAAAGCTCTCCCTAATTCACTGCATTCATGATCTCCCCTAAGGGTGGTAGCAGACTTGTGAGTGAGTGACATTTCTTTCAGATGTCTCTCCTGTTTTTCTGGATGTGTCTCTAACTGGTCATCACAACCACAGGTTGCCTTCAGTTTGGAGGACCAGAATGCATCTCTACTGTGTTTTTCCACTGATGCTATCTGGAATAATTCTTCTTTGGAACTTCCCTGACTTAATAATGATTCCTTGGCTTTAGGCCTTCTCTCCCAGTCTAGGGGGAAAAAAGAGACATTCTATTATTACCTGTTTTCTTTGCCAAAAGGAAGTGAAGTCCTAGAATGGATATGGGATAATTAACCTTTAAAATAATATCTAAAAGAGGTGTACAATTTCTTCCAAGAATGGTATATGTCTGAGGAAGGTTTTGGAGGTGTCAAACATAAGAGATAAGCAGGTGATTGGAGATTAGGCAAACCTGAGAGAATAGTGTTTGGAGTCTAAGTACACGAGGTAAATCCAAAGACTGTAAAGATGAGAGAGGAGTAGGAAGATGTCCACCCACCTGAATGATCCAGGATTAATCATATCTGGATCATTCAGGTGGGCCCAATCTAATCATGCATCCTTAAAATGGGAGAACATTTCTTGGCTCAGTCAGAGAGATGTGGTGTGAGAAGGATTTGACCCATAATTCATGGCTCTGAAGGTGGAGGAAGAGCACCATGAGACAAGAAATGTAGCAGTCTCCAGAAGCTGAGAAGACCCTTCAGTTTAGCCAGCAAGAAAATGAGGACCTCAGTTTTACAACTGCAGGAAATTGGTTCTGCCAACAATTCAAATGAACAGATAAGAGATTCTCCCATAGACACTCAAGGAAGGAATGCAGCCCTGCTGATACCTTGGTTGTAACTGTGTGAGACCCATGCCATACTTTTGATGTAGGAACTGTGACATAATTAACTGTGTTGTTTAAAGCCACTAAGTTTGTAACAATTTGTCTCAGCAACAATAGAAAGCTAATACAATAATAATGACACTTCCATAGAGGGAAATAACTGGTGAGGCTTAGCCAGTGCTCCCAGAGGCCAGATTCTGAACCGGTCACTCTCATGTGGCTCCTGGGAATCTGAATGTCTAACAAGTTCCCCAAGATTCTGAAACACAGCCACATTTGTAGACCACTGTAAACAGACATATTGATCATGAGACTAGATCCAGACATCAGACCCTTGCTTTCATTCTGGAAGGAGAAAAGATCGATAAAGTATTAATACAGAGGAGATGAGCAGAGATCAGCATCTTCCCTCTCTGTCCTCTAGTCTAGGTTCTTGTGATAAGCCTCAGACTGTGGTCTCAGGATTTTTGAGCACTACTTTCCTAAGCTTTAACTCTGGCCTGAAGCTATGATTCTGCTTCAGAGATGGCACAGATTGTCATTCCTTCTAGTATGCTTGGACTATACATGGCAGTCAGGAGAGCTTTGAGTCCAGAATTCTGCCCCAGGAGTGGAGCTCATGAGGTACTCTCAAGCCACCTAGGAATAAATAATCCTAGAGATATGCCATTAACAGCTTCCAAGGAGCAGTCCTTGTTCCTGGAAACACCTGGTGCAGCTCAGCTTAATCAAGCTTGAAGTATACTCACCTTGATCTCCCTGACATCATCTGTTTGTCCTGGCCTATGAACTTTTAATTTCTGGGCTACTGAATTGTTCTGTTTGATCCCGTACTAGCCCCCATAATCCTGCTAATATAGGATTGCTTGGCCACATACAACTGTTGATCCTTAGGTTCCACCTAACATTGACTGTGTGACATCCAGTGATGGTGTATAGCACCAAGACCCTGGAAGAGTTGGGCAGAGTCAGGTATACCAGGAAGAGTAAACACTAGAGGAAGAAATGAACATCTCTTCTTCTGACACCAGAGATAATTACAAAAGCCTACAAGTATTCAAAGTACTGGAGTTAAGGGCTCCTGGCAAGTGGACTAGTCTTCTCAAAGAAGTGCCCCTGACAAAGGATTCAGGGCAATTTCACACCCACACCTGGTCCTTACTATGTGTAATGCAGCTTAGGTCATACTCACCTGAGTGGGCACCTGCTAAGATTTCTCTCTCTAACATGCCTGGCTCTTCCCCTTCCTCCAACTGGCAGATCACATATGGTTTGGACACCAGAAGTCCTGATGGTAAAGAAAAGATCATGTCAGCCTATGTTACAGGCCAAGGTTGTGGCCCCTGGTCTTGAGGGTGGAGAAATATTGTAGGTGTGGAGAGCCTCCAAAGAATGGGCAATGTGAAGCATCAGGGGGAAGAGCCATGAAACTTCTTCAATTTCGTATGGAGCAGGACTTTTCTGAGGAATAAGCAACAAAAATACTGTAACTCTGGGCCCCAAAGAGAACTGTAAATGTCTGATTCCAGAACCCCAGGGTGAAACTCAGCCAACAGGCCCAGACATTCCTAGCTTTTAAATACCATGGTAACAAACATGGCCTGATGGGCAGGCTTTGAAGGAGCTGAACTCACCAACGGATGCCAGGTTCTTGAAGTTCTCCAGCATGACGTCCCTGTACAGGTCCTTTTGAGTACAGTCCAGCTGTCCCCACTGCCACCAGGTGAATTCCACAGCCACATCCTTGAATGCCAACAGGCCCTGAAACACAGAAGACACTCTTGCACCCTTAGGAGCATACCATTGGCCTTGAGGAGGAGAGTGGAGGGTGTCTGAATGGAACCTGGGGATATGCAAGAAGGGATTCCGAGAGTTCCTGGCTAGCCCAATGCCAAGTTTTGGGATTTGTCATGTCAAAAATATTTTAAGTCACTCCAAGGGTTGAGCATCCCATTAATGTCCACCTATATCAACATCAAGCTGCTTAAAAATGTAGTCCAAGAATCAGGCCCACAGAGACATTCCTCTTAGGTGGGGGAGATAAATGCAATCCATTTCCTCATGAGGTTTATTCTCAGTTTAGTTGCATTTAATTAGAATCAATTAAACAACAGACATTAATAGCAGTGCATTTGAGAATGAAAAAGAATATTAATTCGAGTAATTTGTACTCTCAAATGCACTAGTATTAATAGTCTCCTAATTAAGTATTTTTAAAACTTGTGACCTATGATTTTAATGACAATTCTTACTAAGGCCAAATCAAATAATTGGGGGTTATAATAATTTATCCACATATCTGCAGCCAGCACCCAGTTCAGCTACAGTAAACCAAGTAGTCATCTAGTGAATCAATAGGACTTGTGAGTTTGATTAGCATGAACCCTCTCCACCAAAACCTAACTTTTTCAATTCCTGAATGGAATTGGGTCCCAAGTCACCACAAGATACAACCATTCTGTGGGTCCCAGCCAGAACTATCCTGTCGCCCTCTATAATAGCAATAGAACACCTCCCACATGACTTAGATTACACAGTAATCCATATACCACGAACTAAAAAGCAGATAAGTGAAGGTAGCATAAACTACCACTACTTTGCCCTCAAAATGTTTAAAAATCAAATCCCACTTAGACACTAAAGATTCCATAGGACAAGTCAAAGTAACAACTTTACATTAACAAAAGAATCCAAAATAATCAAATGAGGAAAACTCACTGCCATAGTAACCTCTTATTTGTTCAAAATATTCACTGCCCCTCCCCAAGGATATAACTTCCCATCCCATTGACCCAGGTGTGGTCCAATAATCATTCACAAGTGGGATGTGGAGGAAGTGACATGAGCTACTAGGAGCAAAAACTTTTAGAGCCCATGAGAGTTCTGCAATTGCTCTCTTCCCTTTGCTCTGAAAATGGTAAGTGATCCCAGAGTGAAGGAGGTGTGGGAAAAGCCACCCCTTGCGTGTGATGTGAGTGTAAGTCTCTGAGGGTTTGCTATTATCACAGCATAACTAGTCTAAACTGACTCATTAAAAAAACTGGTGCTCAAACTGGGGTTCTGTCCTAGCAGAAAGCCTAAAATATGTGACATTGGCTTCAGGGCTAGGCAATGAGGAAACTACTGGCAAGATGGCAGCCCCTGTAATGGGTGGTTAACTCTTTGGTGACACTGCTGCCTATAGTAAGTTGACAGATGAACAATGTAAGCATGGGCTTGTGATGTTATGAGAAGACGCTGGAAACGTTAGTAGTGTGAGTTGGTTGTTATTGACAGCATTGGACAAAATATTACAAGAGAAAAAATGAGCTTGAGAGTTTGCTGGTTTGCAAAATAAAAATGGAAGGCAAAAGAAAACGTCCAGAAGTTGCAGGAATTGCAAGGTTGGACATTTAACCAATTTTCACTTCCTACTGGTCAAAGACAACACAGATAAGACTTCTGCATGACACTGAGTGATTAAAACTCAGTCTAATGACAAGGACCAAGTCATGGATGTGGTTATCAAACCTTTTGTTTAAACCTCTGGATAATTTCAGATGGATCCCAGTAAATTCTTTTGGTGGGACCAAATTGCTTAGAGTGACCAAAAGTATGGCTTTTCTAAGGGAACCCCAAAAGCCCCTAAAGAGAGGGGCATATTTCCAAAAGAACTGTGTATAAAGCTACTAACACATGGAGCTGACAGAAGCAAATACATAAAAAGCTGATTATGTTTTTGAGCATTACACTTGAATGTTCATAACCTGAAAATAATCCCTAGGCCATCAACCTACTCAAGCAAGATGTAAAAGCTGCTTAGCCCTCAAGAGCTTCTATTCCACTATCACCTTTGTCTGTGACCAAGGAGGATACTGCAGAGGAAGTGACTTCCAAGGGCAGAGCCAAAAGCGTAGGAAAACACTGGACTGAGAGCTCCACCCAGGAGCAGAACAAGGGCAGAGCCAAAGATGTCACCACCTCTGAGGTCAGTGAGTCTCACTAAGTGTGCCCAGTGGAACTTCATAACTGTCATGGCCCTGGGACTGCTGGGCATCTCCCATGCTTCCTCTTTCTGAATTGGGGTGTTTATTTTGGTTATCCTGTCCCCACTGTTCCACTGTATGTCATACATATGGACTCAGACAACTTTTCCTTTTAGTTCACAGGTCCCGATACTCAGAAACATCCAGACCTGATGTTAAGACTATCACACCACCCAGGACTTTCATCCTGATGCTTTGATTAGGATGGGGTTCTCTTTCTTGAGGAGAGATTTTATGTGGAGTAGGATAAGTGAATTTTGTAAGAACATAGGCAGGGGGAGACTAATTATTTGTTCAAAATATTCACTGCTTCTCCCTTTGGGTCCCTCACTATGTGAGGCTTACGAGGCTTATACTTCCCACCTAATGGACATGAGACTTGGACACATGACCTGCTTGGGACAACGGGTTGTGAGCAGAAGCTTGAAGAGCCATCTCCTGCTTCTCATGTTGTGCTGTCCCGCTGCCACAGAACAGCATATCCCAGAGCAGGGTTGATCCTTCGCCCTGAATCCCAGAGCAAAGAGAGTGGGAGCAGGGTCACAGCCAGCCCACTGCTGGTTTGTTAAAGAAGAAATACACCTTGGTTAGTGTGAGCCACTGAGATGGGGGGGGGGAGAGGGCTGATCTAGGCTAAGCTCTCTGATATACCGGTCTACATCAAGGCCAAAGAGGTTTAAACTATTACTCTACTAATTACTTGAGAGGATTCCTTATAGGTAGGGGTTTCCTCCATTGGCTAGAAAATTAAATATGTCTATCATCAAGCTAAAATATCACTAAACAACCATCTTGGATGCATTCACAGCCCTCCACCTGGTGCTCCCTCCACTTCCAGCCTACCACAGCCCAACCTGAATCCACCTCTGGCATCAATCCCCATCACCACCATCATCCATCCCCATTAGCCCCATCACAACGGAAGCTGACAGGGACACAACAATTCCATTTGCTAGAAGACTCCAACAACCACAGGAGGTAGTCACATAACTGAGTGGTTAAGATCTTGAAGCCAGATAACCTAGTTGTGGAACTAGGCTCCTTTCCTCACTAGCTAGATAACCATAAACAAGTTACTTTATGTCTCTGTGCCTTGCCTTCCTCAGTTTACCTCTGTGTGCCTCAGTTGCCAGTCATCAAAATGGGATGTTTTAAAGATGAAATGAGTTAGTGTAAATAAATTGTGTAGGATAGTTATTGACGCATACTTGATTGTCAGTAAGTGCTATTATTTTTTCATCATTATCACTAACAGGATTTTTCTCATTTTACTGCTGGTATAACTAATACATTGCGTTTATGTGATTTTTCTAAGGTCATACAGCCAGGAAGTAGTGAAGTCTGTTTCCTCACTAATTGGGGAAGGTAACATTTGAACAGGGACCCAGCCTCTAACGGACTCCTCACCTGTCCACACCCTCAGAACCTCCCTGTCCCCTCTTCTCCACGAGCCTTCCCCGCTCTCTCGAGCACAGGCTGGTTCTCCTTTCCCCAAACCGTGATGGGTTTGTGCACATCGTCCGTGTCCTTGGGTTGTGCATATGTGCATATAAATTCTTTGGTTACTCTCTCCCCCTCCACCCATCTGCCCTCCTCCATCCCTCTGACATTCGTCAGTCTCATCTATGCTTCCATGTCATTGAGTCTGTTTTGTTCATCAGTTTATTAAGTTCTTTAGATTCCATGTATAAGCGAGATCATGTGATGTTTGTCTTTTGCTTCCAGGCTTATTTCACTTAGCATAATTTTCTCCAGGTCCATCCATACTGTCCCAAAGGGTATGAGAGTCTTCTTCTTTACAGCTGCGTAGTATTCCACGGTGTATATATCCCACAGTTTTTTAATCCACTCATCTACTGATGGGCACTTGGGCTGTTTCCAGATCTTGCCTATTGTAAACTGTGCTGCTACGAACATTGGGGTACATATATTCTTTCTGATTAGTGTTTCAGGATTCTTAGGATACATTCCTAGGAGTGGAAACACTGGGTCAACAGGCAGCTCCATTTTTAATTTTTTGAGGAACCGCCATACTGTTTTCCATAGTGGCTGCCCCAGTCTGCATTCCCACCAGCAGTGTACTAGGGTCCCCCTTTCTCCACACCCTCACCAGCACATGTCGTTTGTTGATTTGTTGATGGTAGCCATTCTGACAGGTGTGAAGTGATACCTCATTGTGGTTTTAATTTGCATCTCTCTGAAATTTCCCACTCTTAAATGTATAATCTGAAAGACAGATCTTGATCCAGAGGCTCATGTTACACAGGAGAGTTAACCAACTGCTTAGCAGAGATGCCTCCTTCCCCACTCAGAGTGCTCTGGGATGCCACTGGATGTCAAGTGCTGTTAGGGGAGCTGTAGTTCCCAGTAATCTGATAACTTTCCGCATTACCCCCAACAGTCCCTTTTGCTGCTTCTTCCTAGTCAGACACTTCTATGAGAACATGAATGGGTTTCAAGAGCTTTATGCTGCAAGAAGTCACTCTGCCTGGCTTGGGTAGCCCATATACTAAAACTGGAAAGACACAGAGAAGATTAGCATGGCCTCTGCAAGGATGACGGGTAAATTCATGACGTGTTCTATATTTTTAAACTAATCTCAGATCCTGACATTAAAAAGATTTTGGATGCTGAAAAAAAGTTACTCTCTAAAGGTTATATACTGTATAATCCTGTTTATGTGACACTCTGGGAAAAGCAAAACTAAAGGTAGAAAACAGAACAGTGGTCACAAGGGGTTGTGAGAATGCCTTGCCTATGGTAATTTAGGGTTTTTGAGTAAAAGGGGAGACTTGTTCCTGAAGTAGGATTTTATCGTATTCTTTGTGTGATCACCAGTCTTCCCTGAAGCTCTAGCTCAGTGGTTCTTAGCTTTAGCTGCTCATTAAAATCACCTGCAGATCTTTCCAAACTCTTGCTCCTCAGAGTGAGCCCTGGGCATCAATATGCATGTCTACAGCTCTTCGGGTGATTACCACGCAGCAAAGGTTGAGAATCCCTGCGATGTCTCCAACCAGGGCCCTTCCAGCGGTACCAAGAAAGACAGGCAGGTGCGCGCTCAAGGTGCTGGCCCGTCGGGCGGCTCCCCAGTAACACACACCTGTATCCTAGGCTCTTCTAGCACGCAGAAATGTGCACACACCCTGCCTCAGGCCCAGCCCCGTCCTCGGAACCAAATTCGGAGTCTCTCTGGCTCAAATTTCAGAACCAAATTCCGGAAGGTGGGCAAAATGAAGCAGAAACAAGTCCCTTCCGAGCACCAAACGACTCGATGCCCCAGGCGTGAAAACCAGAGGTAAAGGACAGCCCCAAGGATCGGAAAGCCACATGTCCCACCGGAGGACTGGAGGAACGTGACGCCACGCGTGGTCAGTACTTTCAGGGTGACCACAAGCCTGGGTATCCACAGCGGTTGTCTCTCCCGGTCGCGGCTATCGCACAGCGACGGCCCTCTCACTTCAGCACTGCCAGCCTTTCAGAGGCGTGTGCGTGCGCAGATTTTCATACGTCATATTTAAGTGCGCCGGCCGCTGAGACTTCTGGGGAATGTAGTCCGTGCCGTAGGCCGAGCATTGATTGGACGCGCAGGTGGCAGAGCCCTGTGCGCAGGCCCGTTGCCTCCCCGACCTGAAGAAGCGGTCTTCCTGGGTCCTGAGCGCGGTGTCCCAGAGGTGAGGGCTGCGGCCGTGTGTGTCTGAGATGCGGCGTGAGCGCAGCGGCCGTGAGAAGGGGACACTGAGGCCCTGGGGGAGGTGTTGTGGGAGTAGGACGGGGTGACACGGAACAGCCTGCCTCAGTGCGTGTGTGTGCGTGTGTGTGTGTGTGTGTGTGTGTGCGCTTTCAGGTACACCCACTATACACTGTCTGTCACATGCCAACTTTCAGGTTGAAAGTTTGAGTCTTCCGGCCAACGAAACCTTCAGGAGGCCTTCCTGAGAGACAGAAGACAGTTTTGTTCAGAAATGGTTTGCAGACCAGGGAGACAGAGCCTCTGGGATGAATCACAGGGGAGGTGGATCAGAGCTTTTAAAGGCAAAAACGACAAGAAGCTGACCGTTAAGGGGGTTGGCTGCAAAGGAACCAAAGCCATAAGTATACACTATACATTTTCTGATGGATTAGAGCAACCGGGCTTTGTAGTTTCCGTTAATTCATGGTCAGCAGGTAGAGTTAGGAGGTATGGCCAACGGTTGTAAGTCAAGAGACATGGGCAGCAGGAGGTGTCGCAAGACTGGGACCGTTGCCTCAGTTTCCCTTGGAGCTCGTAAAACAAACTTGTAAAACAGGTAATGATTAAACAGACCGTACAGGGAGTGCGGTTTGTCATGTAGACAGAGTCAGAGTTCAAATTGCAGAGCTGCTTAGTCACTCAAGCAGAGCCAGAAATCAAACTGCATAAAGTTACAGATACTTGACCCCAAAGTTATGATATTAAAATACTCCACTCCTCCTGCCCCTTCTTCCCATTATGGGTGCTTACTAAAGATGGGTCGAACTGACACCATGTCTAGGGAGTCCCCCACTGCAGTCCCTCTTTCCCAGAAACCACCTCAGATCGACTGTTTAGCTCCCTACTTGGTCTCTATGTGAGTGACCACAGTGAAGGGGGGCTTCATGGAGGAGGTCCCATAGAAGACCAGGACAAGACACATAGGCAACATGATTGTGGGGGTCTGATCCAGGGACTGACGGGAATAAAACTATTTTGGAACAGTTGTTCTAGAGGACACATCCAGGACTAGAGAGAGGAAGGGACTAGTGGCAGGGAACCAGTTAGGAATTGTTGGTAGTGGCAGTCATCCTGAAGCAGGCTGTTATGAACCTCAGTCGTGATGGTGTCAGTGACAGGAAGAGTACAAATGACATTGCAAAAGAATAGTCAGAAGGACCTGGTGACTGACTAGATTAAGAAAGAAAGAGAGGGAGGTAGGAGTTTGAATTGGGGGCACCTGGGAGGATACTGGAACATCTGATAGAAATGTAAAACCAGGGAGAAGAGTTGATGTGGGGGACTGCATAGGGGAAGGTGGTTTTGAGGTGCTGGCAGAATGCCTAATTCAAAATTTCAGTCATTTGGAAATGCAAGGTGAGTTTGGAAGAGGTGTTGGGACTACGCTGGGAACCATCTCTGTAGACGTGGAAAGTGGAGTGCCAAGTGTGAATGGACTTTCTGAAGGACAGCAAGAAGAACATTGTACAAAGACTGAGCCTTGGGCAGCATCAGTGTTCCCAGGGCAAGGTTAGGAAAAAGAGTCATAGAGAGATGCAGTGTTAGTGGGAGGAAGAAAGTCAGGCTAGTGCATTATCAGAGCAGCTACAGCAACCTGAAGAAGCAGAAACTTGTCAAAACAGTGAAAAGCTGCAGAGAAATAGTTAAGAAGAGAAGGATTATTGGAAAGAGCTCAGAAAGGCATTGTTAATTTTCAAGCATGCCGTTTCAGGTGTGTGAAGGGTGGCAGGAGCAGAGTAACAATTCAAGAATAGGTGGTGGTGATGCGGAGTGGTTAGGTGTGTATTACTCATCCAAGAAGCTTGGTCATGAAAGGAAAGCCTAAATGAGAACTGTTTGGCAAGAGGTAGGCCGTGGGATTCAGATAGAGGATGACTGTATCTGTTTGAACATAGGGGAAGAAGGTACTGGAAAGAAGGGAGATGCTGGAGAAAATGGGTAATGCAAGGTGCTGATTCTGAGCAGGAACAATCGTGGAAAAGAATTAGCAAATGCAAATTCTGAAAAAATGCTAATCAATATCCTGTTTAATGGTGTTCCATTGTATAGATGAGCTGGATCATAAATTAATCAAATTTCCTATTTAGAAATTCAGTATATTTCAAATTTTTTCTGTATTATTTTAAGGATTAAGTGAGATAATAGATGCAAAGAGCTTAGAAGGTTTCCACACACAGTATTAAACTGCAACACAGTGCCTGCCTTATTGACTTATGAGGGTGGAATTAAACTATCCTCATAAGGAGTACTTAGCACAGTGCCATTCCTGGATCTCAGTGTTTGTGGAGAAAACACTTTTCAATTTCTTGATAAAGGTTAGTGTTGCCCTGTTGGTGTGGCACGGTGGTTACAGAGTTGGCCTACACACCCAGGGGTCGTGGGTTTGATTCCTGGTCTAGGGCCTGTACCTGGGTTTTGGGTTCATTCCCCAGGCCTGGTTGGGGCACGTACGGGAGGCAGCCAACTGATGTGTCTCTCTTACATCGATGTATCTCTCTCACCGCAACCCCCGTTCCGTTCCACTCTACCTAAAAGCAATTGAAAAATATCCTCAGTTGAAGACTGAAAAAATAAAAACAAATAAATAAACAAACAAACAAATAAATAAATGTTAGCGTTAATGGTGATTAAGATAAAGCTTTGCATATATTCTTATTTTCTTAGGATAAACTTGGAGAATTGTTGGCTCAAAGAGTATATTTCCAGGCCCTTGATACAAATTGCAATGATCTTTCTAAAATCGAATGATGACCCTTGTGTGCTTAAACCCTCCCGTGATCCCCATGCCACGTAGAGAAAAGGGACCGCAGAGGGCTCTCCTGGATCCAGCTGGCTTCCACCTGCTTCTCCATCCTGGTCCTTCCCCACAGCTCCGCTCGCAGCCTGGGCACCTGCCATTCTAAAGTAGTTGCAGTTGTCAGTTCTTTCCTTGAAAGACTCACCTCCTCGTTTTTGAAAACTAGGTGTTTTTCCTGCCTAGACTCTTCTCCCCAGGATCACAACTTACCTTAGATCCCATTTCTGCCGAGAAACCTGCCCTGTTTTCCCTCCCTCCATCTGGGTTAGGCAAGCCGCTGACGCGCTCTCAAGGTCTGCTTGCTGTGCATGTCTCTTTACAGCACTTATCCATCCTGTGGTGAAATATTATTTTGGCTGTTTGTTTGTCCTATGCGCTAGGCTATAAGCTTTTAGAGGACAAGTAAAGTGTCATATATAGTTTTAGGGCTTGGTATCAGTAGTTAGTGCTGAATACATGTTGGTTGGATAATGGATGAATGAAAAACAAGGATCAGTGAACATACTCCCTTGACTGCAGGAGAGCAGTCAGCGAGCCCTACCCCTTCCTCCTTCCCAAACCACACTCTCTCCCCATCCCATTCATAAATCCCAGCAATGCTTGATTTAACTATGTTTCAACTAGGCTCTTGATTGTGAGAAATGAGACATACTTAGCTAGAGTGTAGTAGTAAGGATTCACACAAAGCCTAAGAGGGTTGGAGTCTTATGGAAATCCAAGAATAAATAAGGCTGGTCTCCATGCAAATCGGAGC